TATGCCTTGTCATCAATAACGGACTTAACTTACGGAAAAGCACAAAACTGAATCCCAAACTCGACTGTTAAGGGTGTCAGTTTCCAACCAAAATTTTGACTTTTGACACACTGTCAGACAACGCTAGCAAGGTACTGTGCAGGGAGCTGCGCTCCGGTTTCCTACGCATTACGAAAAAGTGTCACTGTTTCTGGGCCCCTGCTGTGAATTCGGACGCCAGTCTAAGCCTGTGATTGGTTAGAGAAAGTATTGTCGTCACAGCTTAAAACTCAGTGAAATTCCGCTTGTCATGGCGATTAACCCGAAGACGCTGAAAAACTCAAAAATTGACAGTTAAGGTGATCAAAAGGAATACAGACAGACGGTATATAGCCAGGTGCTTATCGAGCTAGCCTCAATGTCAAGCGCATGCCGAAAAATCAAAATTCCATAGAAGCAGTTGTATTTAGAAAAGTTGGGTAGAGCTGTGGGTACATACCAATCAGTAGCGCTGACGCTGCGAACCCCTGTTTATTGATTACCATTACGTTTTATTGTAAATAATCAGTTATGCACTGCCGAACCCGCCGGACCTGTGGGTGTTCCCGACCTGACCAAGTGCAGATATCCGGTCTGTGGATGTTCCCGACCTGACCAAGTGCAGATATCCGGTCTGTGGGTGTTCCCGGCGTGACCAAGTGCAGATATCCGGTCTGTGGGTGTTCCCGGCCTGACCGACTGAAGATATCCGGTCTGTGGGTGTTCCCGACCTGACCAAGTGCAGATATCCGGTCTGTGGGTGTTCCCGGCCTGCCGACTGAAGACATCCGGTCTCATGAACCTGTTGCTCAGGGACTTCTGAGTCTGTAAGCCCGCGGTTTTTTTCGTGTCGCAGGCCCTGCAACCGGCGCAGACCCGCGGACGCGCGGCCCGTCTGGTCTCATGGACGTAGTTCATTGTATCATACTAGAAGTTTTGTTAAATCGCCGAAGGGCAATAATATCCAATTACCTTTCTCCAAACAGCCGTCGAATAGGGAGCTCCATCATCACGCCGGATGAACTCAGCCCATTTCGTCTCCTTAGTACAAGATCTGTGTCCAACGCCTGGCACACGAATGATCAGCTTCGACGTGGTCCGCCTGCTCACCAACGCATCAACACATGTGCGAACCATGTTGGAGAACGGTGGTACGCTCCCGGCCGACGGCAGGCATCCCAACCTAGCAACCAGGCGGACCTGCTCACGTTCCGTTGCGGCCAGCGCCGCGTTTCCCGCTAAACAGCTAACGCTCTGTACCAAACCGACTGAGACAGGCCGTCTTCTCCGTCCCTCTGGTCCCAGTTAGTTCGAGCGTCTGCCTTTCGATCCACCCACACATGGCGGAATGGGTTCGAGTCGCTTTAGAGTACTCGCTGTTTTGCCCGTGGCATAGTCTGCGGCCGGCGGCAGCGGTCGCGCTAAAGGTAGGTTGGGGTACCGACCATTGCGTGCACGGTGAATTTTTCGCCACCAAATTCTGACGCTGGCCGGGGAATAGCGCGAATCGGATGGTGGTGGTCAGGGCTCAGACAACAATGCTCATGCTTAGCGTAAGCTGTGATCGCAAAAATCCACGCATTTAAAATTGCATTTTAAACGTAGAGTGTTTTTCTGAGACTTTGACAGGCTGCCACACACAACGACACGCTGATACCTCCTGCTCCTGCAGCAAAACGGCTCAGATGCCCTGGCCACTCCCATGACGGTCCAATGTGAATGTGCCTTCCCCATTACCAAACGAGAGGAAAGCAGCTGTCAGCGTTTCTGTCACAAACCGTCTTTAGGCCCCCAAATGCCTCGTCCGCCTCGGATGGCCACTGAAACTGAACGCCCTCGCCTGTGAGGTGAAAAGGGGAGCAGCAATGTGAGTAAAATTGTCATATATTTACGAAATGAAGAGCAAAGCCCAAGAAGACTGCATAGTCTCAAGCGGTCGCGATTGTTGCCAGCCATTCACCTGCGAACCTTTGCGGGATCAGTCGTCATGCCTTGTTCAGATATCACGTGACCGAGAAATTTCACCTCCTTCTGAAAACTGACACTTGGTCAGCGTGAGATCTGCGGCGTGCAACCTGACTAACCCATCCAGTGCAGTCAGGACCTCTGGGAAAGACTTGCCATGAATGATAACGTCGTTGAAATAATGCAAGCAGGACTCGGGCGGCTCATCACAAGCACGACGTTGTGTAGCTTGCAACGAGCAAACGGCGCGGAACTCGGTCCAAAGCACATACGGCTGCACTTCATGTTTCCTGGCGGATGGTTGCCTGACAGCCGGATCAGTCGACACTTGGTGATAGGCTGCGTTCATGTCAAGGACACAATACAGAGACCACCCAGCCAATGCATCTAAAGTGTATCAACACCCTGAATCAGTCACGCGGACAGCCGAGGACATGCATTGAGTTTACATGTCCGCATTACAAAGCTCTCCAAACTTCGTTTTCACAAGACAACAGGTGGGGCCCAGGTACCTTCGGACTCTCGAGAATGCCCTCCTTGACTAGTGGGTGGGGCCTAGGTACCTTCGGACTCTCGAGAATGCCCTCCTTGACTTATTAATCCAACTGTACCCGAAATTGTTCTTTCAAATACGGAGGAATGCGCCATGGACTCTGACGGATCCGGGGATCGTCTCCTGTGTCAGTTCTGTAGGTCATTCAAGTGTGTGACCTATATGACCGTCGAATATACTGTTGTGCATTTTCAAAACCTTAAACAAGACCCTCGTTGCGAATCTGTGAGGTAAGTACTGAACAAAGCAGCCATCGACTCAATGTCTACAGCCTTGTACAACTCAGGATGAAGCTCAGGCGCTAGCTAGCTCCTGAAAGCTTTCCTCCAGCTGAGCTCTCTGAGCAAGTTTGGGTTAAGTAATGTGTTCAGCGGTCATGTTTCCGACAAAGGGGAGCAGTTGACCCAGACACAGTGGCAACGCACCTCACCATCTGCACACCCGGTATGTTGAGACATGGCTCAGCAAGAACAGGACCAGCGTAGTCACAATGATGGGCATAGGCCCTTCATAAGCGCTCAGCGACTGGGGTAAGAAAACGCCATAACCAACACTGCCCGGCCCACAGACGTTTCTACCATCAGAGATGCGTGAACAAGGTCTTGTGCGGTCAACAGAAGTCTCTTACAAGCAAGATCATAACACGAAGGACCAGCCGCAAAAAAAAGTAGCTTGAGGAGGACTAGGAATATCTAGAGCCTCGGTCACGTAAAAAGAAATGTGAGTTTGGTTCACGATACAAATGAGTACTGTAGCACGCCCCACCAGCGGACGCTCGCCCTGAGATTGTCAGTCCTAGCTCCCGTTGCAGTCCGGTGAAGTGCTGCATCAGAAAGGACGTCAAAAGCAGCTTTGTTCGGTAGTGTTAATCGACGATCCAGAATCCAGAAGAAAATGACACGGTACGCCTGAAATAGTTCCTGAAAATATCGTGTCATCAGTAAGCGCCACACTCTTATCTGAGTCAGCACGACTCGTAAAAGGCGTAAGCCCCTCACCGACGCGAAGTCTGGGGACAATGGCTGGCGCTCTGAATGACCGCTGACCCCCTGCCCGTTTCTCTGAGTGCACGCGCTTGAAATGTGACCTACTTTACCGCACGCGTAGCAGCGGGATTTTGTGTGAGGACATGCCCCGCGTAAACTGCGACAGACTGCCACAGGCGGGGCAGGATCCAACCAGCATCTGGGGGCGCGTGGAGAACCACATATACCACATAGCATGCAGCTGTGTCAAATCCCATCAGGGTGATACAGATCGCCTGCTGTCAGTCATACTGGAAGAGCACAGAAAGGCAATCATTCGTGGTGAGACTCTGAATCCCAGCTGTGACAGAGCCTGCATGGTCATACCTCGATCATCGACCAGCATGGAATCATGCAACAGTCATCGGCAGAGAACGCACTGGAAGGTTAGAAATACTACGTTGGCCCATACATCGCATTGGCTGACATCCATTTGTTCTCCGGACCTAGCACCTGACCACGGCCGGGGAGCTGTATGGCCGAAAGGTTGCATAGTCGGAACATTCGAACACACCATGCGAGGGCAAAAGTTTAGCACTCATTTCGTCCGTAGTGAGTTGTGGACGTTATAACTAGAGACAATTGTGAACTGTGGATGCTGTGAACTGTGAACGCTTATGATACGGGCCCGTTTCCACCTCAAGACTTACAGCCACTCTTTACAGGCACTCTTTTCTGCAGTGCAATAGCGTTTATTTGAATTTACTTCTGATCGTTACACATTGGTATGTAAGGTGGCGTATATCGCATCTGTTCAATCGGTCGTGCATAACACGTGAATGACTTATATGGGACAAGGGTGCGAAGAAACGAAGGTCAAGGAGGTTCCACAACGGACGAGGGTAGTGGAAGGGATAGCTGGTTCAGAGGCCGGCGGGCGAAGAGGGCCAAATTCAGCTGAATGATTGCGCTGAGAATGAGGAGAGGAATGTGGGCTGTGCGGGTAACAAACAACAAAATACAAGCACGATCAAGCACGCGTGATTAGAATTGTGAATGATAACACCACGCAATTACCAGTTTTGTTTCATGGCATTTTCTTCATTTATGTGACTCCATCTGGTGCACGTTATTTTCTTATATTTTCACAGCGTGCGTGCATTATGTGCAGCATGTTTCTTTTTCTTCTTTAGCTCACTTTTGCAGGTTGCACGCGAACTACGCACTGTTTTTTTGCCAACGTTTTGCTGTTAATTTGCCGTATGGGGAATCGTCTCGTCATGTCGTCATGTAGAGTAACGCGGCCTGACGCTTAATATAGCCGGTGTAATATAAGTACACAACAGCCAACTTTCTACTGCATGAAACGACGCCGAATTATGCGAGTGAAGGCAGACCCTTCCGGACATTTAATCTCCAGCTGAAGTCAGCCGACCACTGTGCACAAAGTCACACAAAATCACCATTACTGAACGGCGATAGGCTTGCTGCAAACGTACGGCTTGGCCAGGCTGCAGTCCTCGTCGCGGGCGCCGTGCCATTGGAGAGCCGCGCAGTTCTCCGCCGCGCCGCCGTCCGGCTCTCCGTCCAACCAGCCGCTGGAGCCTTGAGCCTCCGTCGGCGTCGGCACGGTCGCCGCGCCCTCTGGGTCACGCCAGACGCCCTCCTCGGCGGCGTCACTCAGGCCCGACCAGACCTCAGTGTTAATGAGGTTGGCGAGCACCTTGACGGAGTCATACTCAATCCAGTCGGCAGCGACAAACAGGTGGGCGCCGAGCCCGACGCAGCGCTGCTCGGCGTCGGCGTGCGCCAGGGGCGCGTCCATTTTCCAGGAGCACGCAGTTCGTGAGTAGCGCGAACCAGCCCGTCGGACAGGGCGGCGAGAGGGACGCGTCCAGCTCTGACCGGCAAAGCACCCGCTGCACCTGGCTGCAGTTGCTCAGCGCGACGCGGCCCAGAAGCAGCTCGCACCCCTCTGTCAGGTTGCTGGCGTTGCGACTCACGTAGGTCGGGTAGAAGGGCCGGCTGACCGGCTGACCAGCCTTGTCGTACGTTTCCTGTCACGTTGGTGCGCATCCCCGACCAGTAACGGTAGGCGATGTTCTTGGCGAAACGCAATTCGCGTCCATTGGTCGGGACGTACGGACTGGCCCCGACCGCGGTGTCGGCGCACACCCGCTCCAGTTCGCCACCGTCCCAGGCCACCGCTTCCGTGCTTTTGACAAAGCACGACCTGTCGTACAGAAAGGAGCCAGAGGGGCAGTGGGCAGGGGTAGTCGAGACCGGGATGGCCATGGCCGGTGTGGTCGAGGCCGGTGTAGTCGAGTCTGGCGCCGAGGATGGGACTGAGGACAGGGTCGAGGCCGGGTCGGCGTAAGCGACCATGCGAGGGCCGGTCTGCCGGAATCGGAGTCTGCGTCGCCACGTCGGAGACCAGCTCACACCGGCCGTCGTCCGGGTCGAAGTTGATTGGCAGCGCAGGGGTCGTTCATGACGCAGCGCATGGCGCAGTGCAGCGGCGACCGGAAGCCGAGATGGGCTACCATGACGGCAGGAAAGCACACACCCGGCTGTCGGGTCAGGCGGCGGCTGAGCACGGACACCAGGGGCGTCAGCAGGAGGACCACGGTCCCTCGTCTTGAGACAGGACATGGCACAGCGGAGGCCCGTGGTGATGCCAAAATCGGTAAAGATACAAGGCTGGGGAGATGTAGCAGTGCGCACCTGCGGGGAGGACACTGGCAATGTAAGTGAAACCAGGGACGCGATGCACCAGGTTGCGCTTACCTGTACGGGGCGGATTATCTCTGCGATTCCCGCCGTGCGACCGACTCCGCGGTAGACTGCGCCACAGACTACCTGCCCGGAACGGTAGCCTCCGAGGCACTGCGGAGTATGGACCGTCCGCAATATCAATATAACACAACGAAAACGTCGTGACAGATAACATTTCCCGACTGAGACGATTGCATTGTAGTTCTTCTCAGCGAACGTGGTCGTGCATTATTCGGTTGATGACATCAGTTTCAACGCTGAAGTGGTTTGCAAACGCAGGGGTGTTAAAACATGCGGACTTGGTGAATGATGTTGGTGGCACATATGCACATTTTTACCTGACATTTGGTTTCCAATGTTTGCCATCATGAATTTCCCTCACATGGTAGGGTCGCAGTGCTACAAAAATCGTGCGATGCTACTAGGAGTACAAAAGACCGCTGGTCGATGTTCCCCTGTACTGACCGAGTACAGTGAATTCGTTCCTAGGCTAGAGCCTAACACGGGATTAGGAAATGATTGAATCACCACGTGCCTGCGACCTATGGATATTTGTCATTTTTTTAAGGGAAAGGTGAAACTAATGTTAAATTGCTGCATACGTAGTGCAATGCAACACCATTAATTGCCCAGGTACGGCCGCTGCTTTCGCACGCTCTCGACAAATGACCTATCATGTGTTGCCACCACTTCCGCTGTCGTGCTTTCGCAGTAGCTTTAGATGTGCTGTGATGATCTGTTTCCAGGCGATTGAAACCTCGACCGGACGGTTGTCGGCCGATGAAACCTCGTCCGGACGCCCATCGGCCGATTGAAACCTCGACCGGACGCCCCATCGGCCGATGAAACCTCGACCGGACGCCTCATCGGCCGATGAAACCTCGACCGGACGCTCATCGGCCGAGGAAACCTCGACCGGACGCTCATCGGCCGATGAAAGGCTACTCAGTGTACCGTAAAGAGGAGCCCGCCGGACACCGCCGCGTGCGGCAGCGTCCTTTTAGCTATTCACCACAGGGTGCCATCCCGTAAGACAGTACTTTACATTCTCTCCAGGCCGTATTAGCTCGAGTCAGTGTAAATCACAGTCCCATCACGGTGTGTGTTTGGTGTATGTGCCGCCTGGAGGTGCGCTCCGCTTAGCTGAACTCAGCCGAACTCAGAACGAGATCAACTACGATATGACGTGCGCAGCACTGCTGTACTGGCTCCGTGTTCCCCACGAGGCTGACATATGATACGCTATCTACAAAAAATAAGTATCTTTCGTATGTTTGCCTGCCTGTTTGTCTTTTTTTGCTAGCTACCTTGTGTACATTAAACAGAGGACAGAAAGGGCTTGAAATTTTCGCAATACGCATGTACGAACGTGAGGAAGGCACACGCGTGCTGAACACTTGGTACAGGGATTGATAGGCACCTTGCGCGGGTGAAAAGGTCCGTTTTTAAACCCATAGGGCTGTCATTGGGCGCGTTTCATCTTAACTTTCGTACTACCAATAATTGAAATCCTGTTCTATGATCGGTCGGGCGGCCATGATGGATTCGTGACGTAGAGGGTGTGACGTCACACTTGTCAACTACTGGACTGGCAAAACCTTTTAACATTTGGGTAGTCGGCGGGGCGTCCACGAACATGGCGGCGCGCAGTGCGGGCGACATCGCGTTAGTGCTTTGGATCTTTTAGTTGATGTGCGGGCTACTAGGGATTCAGCGGGGCATTATGTTTTTAAGCTTGTGGCTTGATGATAATTGACTGCTTCTAAGAGGGGGGGGGGGGGTGGGGCTGAAAAATGGTGCCTAGGGTTCATCGAGGCCAGCCGAATATAAGCTGACAATGCTGTGTTCGCTTGTTGCTGGGACCGGGCTGCTGGGCTGCCAAGCACAACCACTTGTCTAAAAAATTGGTTAACAGCACAGTGATAAGTATTATCCCAGCGAGGTGGGGGAAATGTCCCAATGTCTTAACAGATGATGTCTGTTGTACCTCTGAATTGGTGCTGCTGAGTATATGTATTGAACCCATCATTGAGAAATATCATTTGTATGCCAAGGTTTCCCTCAGAAGTAGGCCTCCTCCCCCAGTTTCATGAATTTGGTCCCATCTTATGATGACCTAGTTCCTGAAATTCCATCCCATTTGGGGATATAGAGCAGAATAGCATCCATTTATTAGTGATATTTGTGTTACCAGCTATATTCCCAAGTAAATGTTTGTAATACATCTAACTGGGTATTCAAGGGGGCACTCGCAGGCCTTTAAAATTTTGTCACTACCCACTTGAATAAATGCCGTGGGTAATATTGAAAGACTTCAGGTAACATATGAGCATTGTGTTGAAGAGTGCACCCACCAATCCCCCAGAATCCCCATGTCCCCAACCCCCAGTGATAGCAGTAGCAGTGGAGATCAGGGCCGTGACCACCGTGGGCGGAAGGGGTGCTTCAAGGAGGCCAGCACTGACGAATACCTGATGGAGGGAAATGATCCTGAGAGGTACAGGCTGACGATAGAAGAGAGGAGGGTTGCTGCTGAAGAGAAAAGGCTGGAACTGCTCGCCCGATTGGTGGATGTGATGGAAGTCAGCACCAAGAAGTGAAGTGTTTTAGCTGTATTTCCTGTGGAGAAGTTCAGACAACATTTTGTTTTTAAGACCTGCTGAGGGTATGACATTTAGCCAGGAACCCAGCACCGTGCAAACATGGTGTTCATGCAGTGCCCTTTATCATTTAAAGCATCAGCTGGATGTCTGTGCAATAAGCTTTGCAGGTGTCCCAACAAAGGTGAAGCCTATTTAACACAGAAAGGAGTGAGTTGTGGTACAATGTAATATGGATATGATGTGTTTCTAATGCTCATGCAATGCCTTAACTCCGGTCTACAATGTGTGTGCATGTATGTGCCCTCAGAGAACCGTACTCTAACCTGTCTCTGGATGACCCCTGTTCTCATTGTAACATTTCACTTGGAAGCAGTTTCAGTCACTGCAGTAAGGACTTAGTTTGGAACACACATATATCACACAAATGTTGTATTTCCTGCCACCAAAAAGCACTTTGTTCCCTGCCCTTCAGACTTCTGCAGCATTGCAAAATCTACATCACGCTGACCCAGAGTGAACGCCACAACGAAAATACCACAGACACTGCAACACAGCCAGTGATCATCCAGCAGCACCATCAGCCTTGCTACAGCACCCAAAGCCTTTCCACTAGCTCATTACGCACCACGAGAGCGGATGGTTCAACGAGTACCGTATTCGTATGCTCCCGCAGTCCTCCAGCTCTCAGTCGCATCTCCTCATGGGCATAAACACCTTCAGTGACCTCATTTTCACCATCCTCCTTCCAAAAGTCATGCTCCTGTAGTGAAATGTTTTGAAGTACACAGGCTGCCACTACGAGCTCCGCAACTCTCTGAACTGACTGAGCTTCCAAACAGGAGAGACGCCGAAATCCTGCCTTCAGAATGCCAAAGGTTTTCTCCACTACCACGCGTGTGCTTGAGACAAGATAGTTACACTTCTTTTTATTTTCCCTATTTTCTGCCAGTTGATTTTCCTGAAACGGTGTCTTGAGCCATCTCTGTAGTTCAAAGACAGAATCACCAACAATGAAACCATTTTGTGGCAGGATTGCACGGCTACTGATGGGGTCTGCCAGCCTCTTACCTAGGGTACTCTTACTAAACACAGGCGAATCATGAACTGACCCTGGCCACCCCACACAGATGTCCATGAACTTGTGGGATTAATTCCAGAGGGCCATCAGATCAACTGAGAAGAAGCCCCTTCTGTTGATGTATGCCTCAGGATGATTATGAGGCTGTAGTATTCCTACATGACACCCATCCAGAGCACCACACACATTGGGGGCCCGCTTCGGCGACCTGAACCCATCTATCACTCGTGCCATGCCTTCCAAAGGAGGTATGTGGAACAAATCCCACATTGCAACCAGGTCTTCAATAACTTCATCCACAAACCTCCAAGCAGTGCATGTTGTCAAACCAAAGAGCATTGCCACTTTTCTGAATCTGATGATGCTTCCCAGGGTACCAGAGAGTGAGGAGTACTTGTTTCTCTCTCGGATTAGGTTCCCGCCCCTGTCCAGAGGGATTCTCATCCCTTTCACCCAAGAGTCCAACAATCCTCCTGACCGTGCCCCTCTTCAGTCTGAACTGTTCCACGTACTGCTCGTCCGTTAGTAGTGGCACTGTTTTTTTCATAAAAGTCTTCATTTTTTTCAAGCTCCTTCGGTCCTTAACTTCCCTGCAACATGTGGAGTGTTGCTAGATTGGAAAATTAACACCGGTAGGAGCAGGTGAGGTCTGCAGACACATGCCAGGAAAGCATCAGGAAGGTATCACTAACAGAAACACCATGTTCAGTATTTTAGGCAAAAGCCAATGGACATTCTCACCACCCAATGTTATCACACAAGCTTGTCCAGAGCAGTAAAAACGCATGGCTTGGAGTTCATCAAATCCTAATCCAAGAGCGCAGCTCCTATTCAGCTGGGGGGGGGGGGGGGGTTCTTCAGCCCACCCACCCCCAACTTGGGCTTCGCCTCCCCTCAAGTTTGATGGAAAATGGGAAAGTATTTTCCTAAACTGCACCCCTGGCATTATTATTTATCATATCTGATACAACCAACCCATGTAGATCGCTGTAATGGATGATTTCAAGTGGGTCGTCGCCTAATGGAGCCACTGGGGCAATTTGTCTCTGTAATTAATCAAAGATGAATGCTTCCATTCCCGTGTACGTCTTTGAAGTATGAATGACAAGCACACAAAAACTTTCCCGTTACATATATCTTCATCCTACAAGAGTTTTTTGACCGCGGTCACGCTGCCGCCCACTCACAAACTTATTTCTCGTCCCAAATTTGATGGTCACAGATGCGCAGCTAATGTAAGGCATTCCAGTAGTCAGTAGCTGGTATGAAACGGCCTAGCATTCGAGTGGGCGGGGCTTCGAGTGGAGTGGGTTCGTCTACCAATAACACAGTAGTTGAAATGAAACGCTGCCATTAATGGCATGCGTGGTAAATCACCTTGAGCTGTGGTCGAGCCATAAAGAAGATAGCTACATTGTTGCGCGAGCAACCATGAATATTGGGATTCCCATCTGAAGGAGGGTGCCGATCTACGTGAATAACTCCAGTGCGTGAGATGCAGGATCGTAGGTCGAGGGCAATCGTGGGGATTTTATGGGAAGGTAACGCATTCAGCGATACTTGACACTACCAGAAATGCCGCAGTAGTGAGTGTTCAACAAGCTGTGAATTATGGGACCACACTGTGTGTGATGAAACTGTGCAGTATTGAACCATTGCGGCAGTGGTAAGAGGCGTAGTGATGAGGCGTGATGCTTTTTTATAAATTTGATCCGAACCATTTGAATGGATGGGTTTCTGGGATCGGTGCTCACGCTAAGCAGTGCTTGTTGCGTGAATCTCGACCCCACCATCTGATCGCGCAATTCCAGGCAAAGGCAAAATTTAGTGGCGAAAGCTTAACTTGCCGCAATGCTCGGCACGGACCGTCCTGCCCTCTGACGTTAACCGACCTCTAGCGCGACTGCCGCCACCGGCCGCAGGCCATATTTGTCAAGGGCAAATAGCGCGCGCCCTAAAGAAACTCGAACCAGTGTCCCAGAATTGCGACTTTGGGTGTAAAGCAACACCCTATGAATAGGAATTTTTCACGCCTTTTCCCCATATTTCATGTGATTTTTTTTCACTCCTGCCTGACATTGTCTAATCGCACATGCCAAACCCATATTTCCCTTTCTGAGGTTTCAGATGCCATCCAAAACCCAGTTCACTTGAAACCACCAAGCATAGACAAGGCTGCACAGAACTTGGACACCTTTGGCTATGTCGTGCCTCACCTACATCTGAATCATGTATATGTGTGTACAGAGACAGTGCGCCAGGTACCTCGAAGCCCAAGAGCCCCAGCGACTCCAGCCGCTTGCACGCATCAAGTTGAGTTTGTTTACAAAATGCATCACAATCGGCAGCAGTGTGCCAAATGTAAGGTTTTCACGCATTCCAAACTTGTTGTCCCACCACCACACTACGAAAACAGAGCCTGGTGCAAACACCAGCAAGTCCGTGTAGAGAATTTTACTCCACGTATTTATTTTACCCGAAGAAAGTTGGCCACTAACTTGCATCACTCCCGAAATGCAGGAGGGAAAAATTCAAGAAATGTCTTCTAACTTAAATTTACAAAATGAATATCGCCGTTTGAGCGCTCATGTCAACATACTTTAAGTCATATCAGCCGATTACAAAATTTTGCCGAGGAAGTATCAGTCTTTATCTTTATTTAACTACACTTGCCCAAATATGTTTGATATATACCCCAAGCGTGAGCAATTCACAGGCAATGAAGGAGACAATTTGAAGCACGGAACTTATTTTTTAACGCCATTTTTGCCCTCTTAAACCTTTGGTTAACTGTTGTCTTGGTTCATGGCGGTGCTCAATAAGGATAAATCCAAGCTTTTCGAGCGTCTGACTTACCAGGCTACCTGGCAAGGCTTAGAATGGCCTTGCCGAATGCTGCCTCTGTATGGCAGCATTAGAATATGCTGCCACATAGAGCCTTGGGACAGACCTGACGCAGCTAATACAGAAGTGTTTGATGGCGAAATTCTGCCCTGTGGAGATGTTTATCGTGCACACCTCTTACTTGTCTCGGATTTTAATCTCGAAGGCTGGTAGGCATGATTGATATTCATATTTGGGGGGTAAGTCGGATGACTCTGTCTGCCAGCAGACCATGCAAAAGGTACTGACTTTTGTTTTGGGGGAGAGGGAAGAAGCCAGAAAGTCTTCTGTGGACCAAGCAATTGCTTACCTTACCTGCTTTCAACACATGATTGGTAACCAGAGGTAGCCATTTTCTGTTTTAATCCATCGAGTTTTGTCATAAGCCAAATTATGATGCCACAAGGCATATTTTGTTTATATAGGCTTATTTTGTTTCATATTCTTGATTATTTGCCCCAAATTTCTTGAAGTGGTCCCTCATGGCTGCTTTGACCAGATGCTTTCAAAAGCTGTCATGGTTTGTCGACTGGTAAGTGATTGTACTGCATATATGCACTATATTTCTAACACCGGGATATAGTTGCATAGTACTTGTAATATGAGGCAAATATCAGTATGTAGCAAATGTCAGACCATTACATTTAAAATGTGAAGCCAACATCTCAGACGTTGTCATTAAATATGAATAAACAAGCCTAAATAGATGCCCTTGCTGCAGCTGAAAAGGCAAGCAGCAAAACTGGCATGGTCATCTAAGGTTATGTTACTTTTGGAGAAGAGGGATTGTTTTGTGAATGATACCCATTA